CAGCCAGACCTTGAGCGGCTGCTGCGAGCAGGCAGGGCAGGCCAAAGTACGGGGTGGAAAACGCTGCCTGGGAGCAACGCGGGGGACGAAGCGGAGCTCGGAGGACGGTCCTAAGGCGGTGCAGAAGCAGCGAGGAGGAAGAGGAGGAGGCGTTCCCGGTGTTGCTTTGTCCCCTTTGGTCTGGTCTAAAGGGCTTTTTCGCTTCCCTGCAGTTTCAGTCGCATCAGATCTTCCACGTGCTCGTGGTGGCTGCGGCCTTCGTCCACTTCTACGGGGTGTCGAACCTGCAGGAGTTTCGCTACGGACTCGAAGGGGGGTGCACAGACGACTCTCTCCTCTGAGGGTGCCCGATTTTAGTACAAGCTTCCTAAGTGCTTTTTAAACTCTGTCTTTGCTAAAATCAAAGGAAGACTCAAAACTGTTTGGGGTTGTTGGTTGGTTGGTTGTTTTTTTTTTTTTTTTAAGGGGGGGGGGGGGGAAAGAAAAAGCAAAGTTGTCGACCAAATCCTCACCCCCTTCCCCACGCACTTTGCTGGGGCTGAGGGGAGGCGACGCAGGCGCCGGCAGCCAGCCCTGCCGCGGCCTCGCCTCCTCCAGACAGCGTTTCAGCTGCACCGGGGTCGTCCGACCTTCCCAGGCATGCCGCTTTCCGAAAGCAAAGGGCGCGGGTACCCCGCTCCCGGCACAGCCGAGCACCCCCTCCCCGAGCTCACCGCCGGAGCGAGCAGAGTCACGCACTACCAGGCCCCGGGGCCAGAGATTTTTTGCATATCCCTCGCAGCAGAGCCGCCTTGCTGGGGGCAGCTCTGCGGCCCCCAGTGCTGCTGCCCAGGGCACAGGCACAGATTCAAGTAACTTAAGTTTTAATTGTCTTTTTTTTTGTTTGTTTGTTTGTTTGTTTTCCTTGACAAAGTAATGTAAACATAAATGAGAGAATATTTAATATTTAATACTAAGCTTTAAAAAGACTTGCTGCCACCGCAGTGTACTCGGCTCCCTCGCTGTCTGTGGTAGTAAAGGAAGGACAGTGTGTTAGGGGAATGTAGAGCCGCTGTAGCTGATTGAAATAAAAAGGTCAATAGTTCAGTGTCGTGCTGCTGGTGTCCGTCTCGTTTTTTTGGGGTGGGTGTAGAGAAGCTGCTCGGGGTGTGGGCTGCTTCTGGGGAGAGGGCTCCGAGCACCCCCCAGGAGCGTGTCCCCTCCAAGGCTGAACGGTGGGAGCACCCGTGAGGGGCAGCGGGATCCGCCCGGCCGCGGCAGCGAGGCTGGACAGCCCCAAGGGCCAAAATAAAACACGGGAACCTCTTGGGTGTTGCGGAGATGAGAGGGGAGGAAACGCTTCCCCGGCCGGGCGAAGGCTTCCCTCCTGGGATCAGCGAGGGTGAGGAGGTGAGACACGAGCCGCCTGCGCATCTTTTCGAGATGCCGCAACCCGGTCGGCGTGTGGGGAGTGAAGGGACACCCCTAAACCTTGCGCAGAAGCGTGTGACCATCCGGCGCAGGCGGTCAAGGGGGATTAGAGGGGAAGAGCTGAGCTGAGCAAAGCTCCTCTCGGGCAGCTGAAGCCCGTCACCTTAGAGAGGGGTGAGGGAGGAGCATCTGGGAGGGCCGCC